GGTACCGGGGACAGCGGTGTCGCCGCCACCGGGTTTTTTAACGGCGGCACCGGGGACAGCGGCGGAGGAGGAGGAGGAGGAGGAGGAGGAAGAAACGGGAACGCCCCGGAGAACGGCGGCGGCGGCGCTGGAGATGGAGCTTCCAACGGGGACGGAGGGGGATGGAGGAGCAACGGGGACAACGGAGGCACCGGGAGACACCGGGGTGAGAGAGGAACCGGGGGAACCGGGGAGGATGGAGGCACCGGGGGAACCGGAGACACCACCGGGAGAACCGAGGACCCTGGAGGCACCGGGAGAACCGGGGAGGATGGAGGCGCCGGGGAGGCTGGAGGCACTGGGGGAACTGGGGAGGCTGGAGGCACCAGGAGAACCGGAGACACTGGGGGAACTGGGGGAACTGGGGAGGCTGGAAGCACCGGGAGAACCGGAGACACCGGGAGAACCGGGGAGGATGGAGGCGCCGGGCTTCTTGAAGACCCCGGGGACACTGGGAACACTGGGAACACTGGAGGCACCGGGATTCTTGAAGACCCCAGAGACACTGGAGGCACCGGGGACACTGGGAACACTGGGAACACTGGGGACGCTGGAGAAACCAGGATTCTTGAAGACCCCCAGGACACTGGGGACACTGGGATTCTTGAAGACCCCCAAGATACTGGGGACACTGGGGACACTGGGATTCTTGAAGACCCCCAGGACACTGGGGACACTGGGAACACTGGGAACACTGGGATTCTTGAAGACCCCCAAGATACTGGGGACACTGGGGACACTGGGATTCTTGAAGACCCCCGGGACACTGGGGACACTGGAAGCACTGGGAGCGGCCGAGTTCCCCGGGTCACAAGAACCATCGGTCGTACTGGACGCACTGGGGACACTGGGAGAGCCCCCAGGGACACTGGAGGCACTGGGGAAACTGGGAAAGCCCCCAGGAACACTGGGAGCAGCAGGGATACTGGGCGCCTTCATCATCCTCCCGTCGCAGCCCCATCGAGGCACCGGGGACAGCGGTGGTACCGGGGACAGCGGTGTCGCCGCCACCGGGTTTTTTAACGGCGGCACCGGGGACAGCGGCGGAGGAGGAGGAGGAGGAGGAGGAGGAAGAAACGGGAACGCCCCGGAGAACGGCGGCGGCGGCGCTGGAGATGGAGCTTCCAACGGGGACGGAGGGGGATGGAGGAGCAACGGGGACAACGGAGGCACCGGGAGACACCGGGGTGAGAGAGGAACCGGGGGAACCGGGGAGGATGGAGGCACCGGGGGAACCGGAGACACCACCGGGAGAACCGAGGACCCTGGAGGCACCGGGAGAACCGGGGAGGATGGAGGCGCCGGGGAGGCTGGAGGCACTGGGGGAACTGGGGAGGCTGGAGGCACCGGGAGAACCGGAGACACTGGGGGAACTGGGGGAACTGGGGAGGCTGGAAGCACCGGGAGAACCGGAGACACCGGGAGAACCGGGGAGGATGGAGGCGCCGGGCTTCTTGAAGACCCCGGGGACACTGGGAACACTGGGAACACTGGAGGCACCGGGATTCTTGAAGACCCCAGAGACACTGGAGGCACCGGGGACACTGGGAACACTGGGAACACTGGGGACGCTGGAGAAACCAGGATTCTTGAAGACCCCCAGGACACTGGGGACACTGGGATTCTTGAAGACCCCCAAGATACTGGGGACACTGGGGACACTGGGATTCTTGAAGACCCCCAGGACACTGGGGACACTGGGAACACTGGGAACACTGGGATTCTTGAAGACCCCCAAGATACTGGGGACACTGGGGACACTGGGATTCTTGAAGACCCCCGGGACACTGGGGACACTGGAAGCACTGGGAGCGGCCGAGTTCCCCGGGTCACAAGAACCATCGGTCGTACTGGACGCACTGGGGACACTGGGAGAGCCCCCAGGGACACTGGAGGCACTGGGGAAACTGGGAAAGCCCCCAGGAACACTGGGAGCAGCAGGGATACTGGGGATACTGGGAAAGCCCCCAGGGCCACCGGGAGCACTAGGGAGAGGAGGACGACTGGGAACACTGGGAACACTGGGAACACTGGGCACACCCGAGTGCCCAGGGACACGGGGAGCACTGGTCATACTGGATGCACTGGGGACACTGGTAAAGTCCCCAGGGTCCCCAGAAGCCCTGGGGACACTGGGAACATTGGGAAAGCCTCCAGGGACACCAGGGACACTGGACGTACTGGGGATACTGGGAAAGCCCCCAAGGCCACCAGGAGCCCTGGGGACACTGGGGATACTGGGAGACCCCCCAGGGACACCAGCAGCACTGGGGACACTGGGGATACTGGGAAAGCCCCCAGGGACACCAGCAGCACCAGGGATACTGGGGATACTGGGAAAACCCCCAGGGACACCGGACGCACTGATGACACCGGGAGAGCCCCCAGGGCCACCAGCAGCACCGGGGACACTGGGGATACTGGGAGACCCCCCAGGGCCACCAGCAGCACTGGGGATACTGGAGATACTGGGAGACCCCTCAGAGACAGCAGGAGCCCTGGGGACACTGGGGACACCAGGAAAGGACGCACTGATGACACCGGGAGAGCCCCCAGGGCCACCAGCAGCACCGGGGACACTGGGGATACTGGGAGACCCCCCAGGGCCACCAGCAGCACCGGGGACACTGGGGATACTGGGAGACCCCTCAGAGACACCAGGAGCCCTGGGGACACTGGGGACACCAGGAAAGCCCCCAGGGCCACCAGCAGCACTGGGGATACTGGGAGACCCCCCAGGGCCACCAGCAGCACCGGGGACACTGGGGATACTGGGAGACCCCCCAGGGACACCAGGAGCCCTGGGGACACTGGGAGAGCCCCCAGGAACCTTGGACACACTGGAGACACTGGGAGACCCCCCAGGGCCACCAGCAGCACCGAGGACACTGGGGACACTGGGAGACCCCCCATGGACACCAGGAGCACTAGGGATACTGGAGACACTGGGAGACCCCCCAGGGCCACCAGCAGCACCGGGGAGACGACAAGCCCTGGGGATATTGGGGACCCCATGAGCGCGGGGGCCACCAGGAGCCCCCTGCCCCACCACCACCACCACCACCACCGCCCCCGCCGGACCCCCAACATGGCACCACAGTTCCAGCCCTCCAGCTACCAGGCCTCGGTGGGGGAGAACCGTCCGGCGGGGACGGCGGTGACGCGGGTGACGGCGGTGGACCCCGACGAGGGGGAGGCGGGCCGGCTGCTCTACGCCATGGCCGCCCTCTTCGACAGCCGCTCCGACGCCCTCTTCGCCATGGACCCCCTCACCGGCGCCGTCACCACCGCCGCCCCCTTGGACCGGGAGAGCAAGAGCACCCACGTCTTCCGGGTGACGGCGGTGGACCACGGGACCCCCCGCCGCAGCGCCATGGCCACCTTGACGGTGACGGTGAGCGACGCCAACGACCACGACCCGGCCTTCGAGCAGGCCGAGTACCGGGAGAGCGTGAGGGAGAACCTGGAGGTGGGCTACGAGGTGCTGACGGTGAGGGCCACCGACGGCGACGCCGGCCCCAACGCCAACGTCCTCTACCGGCTCCTCAACGCCGGGGGGCCCAACGAGGTCTTCGAGATCGACGCCCGCTCGGGTGTTATCCGTACCCGCGGCCCCGTGGACCGGGAGGAGGTGGAAGCCTTCGAGCTGTTGGTGGAGGCCACGGATCAAGGCCAAGAGCCTGGACCCCGCAGCTCCACGGCCACCGTCCGCATCGCCGTGGAGGATGACAACGACAACGCCCCCCAGTTCAGCGAGAAGCGTTACGTGGCCCAGGTCCCCGAGGACGTGGCCCCCAACTCGGCCGTGCTGCGGGTGACGGCCACCGACCGCGACAAGGGCAGCAACGCCTTGGTCCACTACAGCATCGTCAGCGGCAACACCCGCGGCCACTTCTATATCGACGCCCAGACGGGGGCCCTGGACGTGGTCACCCCCTTGGACTACGAGGTCACCAAGGAGTTCACCCTCCGCATCCGGGCGCAGGACGGCGGCCGCCCCCCGCTCTCCAACATCAGCGGTTTGGTCACCGTCCAAGTGTTGGACGTCAACGATAACGCCCCCATCTTCGTCAGCACGCCCTTCCAGGCCACCGTGCTGGAGAACGTGCCGCTGGGCTACTCCGTCATCCACGTTCAAGCCATCGACGCCGATTCGGGGGACAATGGCCGCTTGGTCTACACCCTCCTGGAGACCGGCGCCGGCTTCCCCTTCGCCATCAACAACAGCACCGGGTGGATCGTGGTGGCCTCCGAGCTGGACCGGGAGGCGGTGGACTTCTACAGCTTCGGGGTGGAGGCGCAGGACCAGGGCAACCCCCCCATGGCCTCCTCGGCCAGCGTCAGCGTCACCATCTTGGACGTCAACGACAACAGCCCCGAGTTCACGCAGCGGGAGTACGGGGCCCGCCTGAACGAGGACGCGGCGGTGGGCACCAGCGTCCTCACCGTCTCCGCCGTCGACCGCGACGCCAACAGCGTCATCACCTACCAGATCTCCAGCGGCAACACCCGCAACCGCTTCTCCATCACCAGCCAGAGCGGTGGTGGCCTCATCTCCCTCGCCTTGCCCCTGGACTACAAGCTGGAGCGGCAGTATCTCCTCACCATCGCCGCCTCCGACGGCACCCGCCAGGACACCGCCCAGGTGGTGGTCAACGTCACCGACGCCAACACCCACCGACCCGTCTTCCAGAGCTCCCACTACACCGTCAACGTCAACGAGGACCGGCCGGTGGGCACCACGGTGGTGGTCATCAGCGCCACGGACGAGGACACGGGGGAGAACGCCCGCATCACCTACCTGATGGAGGACAGCATCCCCCAGTTCCGCATCGCCGCCGAGACGGGGGCCGTCACCACCCAGATGGAGCTGGACTACGAGGACCAGGTGTCCTACACCCTGGCCATCACGGCGCGGGACAACGGCATCCCGCAGAAGTCCGACACCACCTACCTGGAGATCCTGGTGAGCGACGTCAACGACAACGCGCCCCAGTTCCTCCGCGACTCCTACCAGGGCTCCGTCTACGAGGACGTGCCCGCCTTCACCAGCGTCCTCCAGGTCTCCGCCACCGACCGCGACTCGGGGCTCAACGGCAGGGTCTTCTACACCTTCCAAGGGGGTGACGATGGTGACGGCGACTTCATCATCGAGTCCACCTCGGGCATCGTCCGCACCTTGCGCCGCCTGGACCGGGAGAACGTGCCGCTCTACTCCCTGCGGGCCTTCGCCGTCGATAAGGGGGTCCCGGCCAAGCGGACGCCGGTGGAGATCCAAGTGACGGTGCTGGACGTCAACGACAACCCACCCGTCTTCGAGCGGGATGAGTTCGACATCTTTGTGGAGGAGAACAGCCCCATCGGGCTGGTGGTGGCCCGGATCACGGCCACCGACCCCGACGAGGGCACCAACGCCCAAATCATGTACCAGATCGTGGAGGGCAACATCCCCGAGGTCTTCCAGTTGGATATCTTCTCCGGCGAGCTCACCGCCTTGGCCGACCTGGACTACGAGACCAAGGCGGAGTACGTCATGGTGGTCCAAGCCACCTCGGCCCCCTTGGTCAGCCGGGCCACCGTCCACGTCCGCCTTCGCGACGCCAACGACAACAGCCCCCAACTCAAGAACTTTGAGATCCTCTTCAACAACTACATCACCAACCGCTCGGGGAGTTTCCCCGGGGGGGTGATCGGCCGCATCCCGGCCCACGACCCCGACGTCTCCGACAGCCTCACCTACGCCTTCGAGCAGGGGAACGAGCTCAACCTGCTGCTGCTGGATCCCCGCAGCGGGGACCTGCGCCTCAGCCCCGCCCTGGACAACAACCGCCCCCTGGAGGCCGTCATGAAGGTCTCCGTCTCCGGTAAGACCCCCCTCCCTGTCCTGGGGTGGAATGGGGTGGAGGTCCAAGGTCCCCTTCACCCTTTTTTGGGGTTTTGAGGTGGTTTTGGGGTCCCACCAACCCATGTTGGCCGCCCCCACCCTCCAGATCTGGGGGAAGATGGGCAACAACCACCCATTGGAGGCCGTCTTGAGGGTCTCCCTCTCGCATAAGACCCTCCCCCCTTGTCTTTGGGTGGAGTTGGGTTGGGTTGATTTGGAGGTCCAAGATTTGGGGCTTGGGGAAGCCCCACTGGGTGTCCGTCCCCCTCCTTCTGTGGGGTTCTGAGGTGGTTTTGGGGCCCCACCAACCCATCTTGGCAGCCCCCACCCCCCAGATCTGGGGGAAGATGGGCAACAACCACCCATTGGAGGCCGTCTTGAGGGTCTCCCTCTCGCATAAGACCCTCCCCCCTTGTCTTTGGGTGGAGTTGGGTTGGGTTGATTTGGAGGTCCAAGATTTGGGGCTTGGGGAAGCCCCACTGGGTGTCCGTCCCCCTCCTTCTGTGGGGTTCTGAGGTGGTTTTGGGGCCCCACCAACCCATCTTGGCAGCCCCCACCCCCCAGATCTGGGGGAAGATGGGCAACAACCACCATTGGAGGCCGTCTTGAGGGTCTCCCCCTCACATAAGACCCCCCCACATTGTCCTGGGTTGGCTTGAAGGTCCAAAGTTTGGGGCTTGCCCCACCCACCCTCCTTCTGTGGGGTTCTGAGGTGGTTTTGGGGTCCCACCACCCCATCTTGGCTGCCCCCACACTCCAGAGCTGCAGGGGAGGTCGGGGGTGGGTGGGAGGTGGAGACACTGTGCCCCCCCCGACCCAGACATCCCATCTAGGGGCAGTTGGGGTTCCCAGCACCCCCTTTTCCTTCCCCACCCTCAGCCGTGGGGTGTTGGGGGGGGTTCCAATACC